TGACTATACCGTAGACTGCCAGAAGAACAAACAAAACTGTCTTGGAAGAAGTACAGCCAGAATGCTCCTTAGAAGTGAGGATGAACATTAAACTTTTAAACTTTGTCTCACTTACTTTGGACATGTTATGAAGAGGGACCAGTCCCTGGAGAAGGACATCATGTTTGGTAAAGTAGAGGGCCATCAGAAGAGAGGCAGACCCTCAACAAAATGGACTGACACAGTGGCTGCAACAGTGGGCTCAAGCATAGCAAGGATTGTGAGGATGGTGTAGGACCGGGCAACCAAATCCACCGTACCTAACAACAACAACAATATAGATTAAGTCAACATCAGGGGTTTGAGGGAATTGTTTACCTTAAAAGAGGACTGAACCTTATTCAGTTTGGGAACACCAGGCTATAGAATAAAACCAGACCTTAGCTTGATAGACAAGGCCCTCCGTGACCTGGCCCCACGTAATACCACAGCTTCACCTCCTATCATTCTCCTACTCAAATCTGAGGTTCCAACAGCACTATAATTTCCGTGTTTTTACTCTAGCTGTTTCCTCCACCCAGAACAGCCTTCTAAATCTACTCAGGTAAAATAACAAACATCCAGGCCCATTTGACAGCCTTCAGAATTTTAATCCTCCCAAAATGACAATTAGGAATTACTTGCTCAATTGAATAACGTTTTATTGATGTTATTGATACAGTATTTCTAACATCTCTCGATGATAAGGGGCCCTGGTGGTGCCGTGGTTAAGAGCTCAGCTGCTAACCAAAAGGTCGGCAGGTCAAATCTACCAGTCCCCCCTTGGGAACCCTATGGGGCAGTTCTACTCTGTCCTATAGGGTCGCTAGGAGTCAGAATGGACTCGACGACAACAGGCTTGGTTTGGTTTGTTTGTTTTCTAATGATAAGGTGTGTATGTGGCATTCTCCCACATTACTGTAAAGTATGAGCTGGGCATCTGTGAGGCCGTGGCATGGGAGTCAGCAAGGTCCCACTAAACCAGAGAAGCCAGAACCCATAGTCCAGCCAAGAGGGCGCCTTATCATCAACACAGACTGAGGCAGACTAGAAGAATCGTCACCCCCATTCATTCCTCAAAACTTCCCAAGTGTTTTGCTTTGTAAATATGAATTTTTGATCAGTAGAAGACAGAAACAACTTTGGTCTCCACTTACGATAATAATCTTTTCAGCATGAATGTCAGTTCAGGAAAATTTAAAAATAGATGCAGGTTACATGTATTTTTCATTCAAAATAAAAATTCTGCTGAATCCCAAGGGGAAAAAATACGTATTCTTAAAACACAAATAATACATTTTATTGAATATAAGACCACCAATGAGAAAAATCTGCATTCTTTTTCAGCTACTAAAATGTTACTGCCGGTACTTATTTGAGTGGAAACCCTGGTGGTGTCGTGGTTAAGAGATACAGCTGCTAACCAAAAGGTTGGCAGTGTGAATCCACCAGAAGTAGCAACATCAAGCATCTTTTTAAACTCTCATTCTAAAATTAGATCTAGGTGGATGACATATGGCCTGCAGCTGGCAGGTCATCACTGATGTAAAGGGGAGAAAAAAAGCTTCCTCCTTGAGCCAGTCAAGGTTTATATTGCTAAGGGATCCAGAGACAGCTTGAATTCATATCCGTTTTACTTTCTATCACTTGTAGCTTCTTAGAGTTCTAGTCAAACTTCAGGTTTTAAAATATTTATCCAGTTTCTTTTTTTAAACTTGTTGATTTATTTATATACATGCTATGTGCATTCTGTATTCTATCTATAGCAAATCCGAGACAAATTACAAAAAAAAAAAAGAATTTTTTCTTTTTCTTCTAAATTCATTCTATTTATCTAAAGCAGTATTTCCCAAGATGTAATCCATGGACTTCTAGTCCTGTAAGATATCCTGGGGTGGGGTGGGGAGTGGGAATTCCAAGGTCAACTAAGTTTGGGAAATAATGTTTATGATATTCAAAAATCACATTAGCATTTTAAATGAACACTTTGAGAAATAATACAATACAAAGAAAGCTGTTTAGCCTTTTTTATTCAGCGTTTCCCAGGCTTATTTGAACATGAAATAACAAAAATAATTTTTTAGAAACAGCATTTAGCATCCTGTAGTGTGAGCATTCTACAGGAATTGCTTTGGCAAATTTTGATCTGAAGTCTAAATGTTAGTGTAAGAAAACTTGCTGAAAAGGAAGTGATTCTCAAATGATAAAGAGTAATGCTGACTGGAAGGACCAACCCAATCAGTATCTAGCTGAGTAAGGCTGAGAAAAAAGGGCTCTTATGTTCACAGGAGGAGCCCCGGTGGCGCAGTGGTTAGGTACTCAGCTGCTAACCAAAAGGCTGACAGTTTGAATCCACCAGTCCCTCCTTGGAAACCCTATGGGGTAGTTCTACTCTGTCCTATAGGGTCACTATGAGTCAGAATTGGCTCAATGGCAATGGTTTTTTTTTTTTTTTTTTTAATGCTCACAGGAACTGGGGTTGCTTTGTTCAACCCAGACATTTTATCTATTTTATTGTACTTTAGATGAAGGTTTACAGAGCAAACTAGTTTCTCATTAAACAATTAATACATACATTGTTTTGTGACATTGGTTGCCAACCCCACGACATGTCAACACTCTTTCCTTCTTGACCTCCAGTTCACCATTATCAGCTTTCCTGTCCCCTCCTGCCCTCTTGTCTTTGCCCCTGGGCTGGTGTGCCCATTTAGTTCTGTTTTGTTTTATGGGCCTGTCTAATCTTTGGCTGAAGGGTGAACCTCAGGAGTGACTTCATTACTGAGCTCTAAGGGTGTCCGGGGGCCATACTCTCAGGGTTTCTCCAGTCTCTGTCAGAACAGTAAGTCTAGTCTTTTTGTGTGTGTGTGAGTTAGAATTTTGTTCTACATTTTTCTCCAGCTCTGTTCGGGACCTTCTATTGTGATTCCTGTCAGAGCAGTCAGTGGTGGTAGCTGGGCACCATCTAGTTGTGCTGGACTTCAACCCAGACATTTTAAGTCCAGAAGATTCCTTTCAGGTTGAAGCAACCTGGACAACTTTAGACTAACCAGGATAACAAGAACAGCTAAGATTACTTCCACGTTTACAGTTATTTCTGCTGCAATTTATTACATAATTGCTTGGAATGAGGAAGGCACTGTACATACACTATCTCTAAACCACTAAAACCCCTGCAAGAGAGGTTTCATCCTCAGTTTTAGAGATGAGGAAACAGGGGTTCTGAGAAAGTGACAAGATTCTTGTATAAACAGGTTTGGTCTGAGACCTTTCTTACTACATCGTGCCACCTCAATCTGTAAAGCTTCTTCACTGAAGCAACTGGTCTGTCTCGTTCTCCAAGCCACTGATAAACCCTCCCTGAAGACTTCCTTGCCAGAAATAATTCTAGAATAAAGCAGGTTAAAGCACTGATGACCCTGGCCCACTTAACGATACCAGGTATGGTTTCCACCACCAACCACGTGACGGCGCACCCTGAGTCTGTCAAGATCTCTGATCGCCTGGAGCGCAGCACGGTATTTTAAAATTACTTTCCAAGGCTGTTTAAGAATTGCACGAGAAATGAATCTTAACACTCAAAGGCAAACTCAAATTCTACAAAGTCCAAGCAGGTGGCATACGTAAGGAAAGCTGGTCAGGTCTAAGACCATAGGGCAGATTGTTGTCAAGCAGAAATGTGACTCCAGTGTTGCTAGATTTTCTTGTTTATTCAAATGAAGCCAGAAACACGGTTTTAATGTGAAATCTCCCAATTTTTCAATGTTAACAACTAATTTCTTAAAAACACTTAAAAAAAGATCAAAACCAAACCCATTCACATCGAGTTAATTCCAACTCATAGCACCCCCATAGGACAGCGTAGAACTGCTCCACAGGGTTTCCAAGGCTGTCATCTTTATGGAAGCAGACTGTCACATCTTTCTTCCAAGAAGGGGTTCAAACTGTCGACCTTTCAGTTAGCAGTGGAGGGCTTAACCACTTGCGCCACCAGGGCTCCTTAAAAAAAAAAGCATTAGTAGCGCCCAAAACACAAACTTGCAGGCCAAGAGCTCATAGCCTCCTCTTTAAAATCGTATGTCAGCTTCTTCTAAAAACAGCATTCCCTCTACCCACTCCCTCCCACCCCACTATTCACTTCCTTCATTCAGTAGACTTGGTTCCAATTGCTTTTGACACAACAAAACATCAAAAGGTAAAGACTTGTGGTGAGGGGGTAAAAGGGAATTCTCTGCACTTTCTGCACAATTTTTCTGTAAATCTAAAACTGCTCTAAAAAATAAACTCTATTTTTTTAAAAAAAGCACACTCTAAGATGATATAATAACCCGTTTCTAATATACAAATATACAGTGGCATGGGAGAAAGACCTGGCGATTTGCTTCCATAAAGATTACAGCCAAGAAAACCCTATGGCGCAGTTCTACTCTGTCACTTGGGGTGGCTATGAGTCAGAATCGACTCAGCAGCACGCAACAACATGAATAGATAAAAAATTAGATTTCTATTTAAAAAAAAAGGTAAAGACTTGCCAGTACTGAAATCATTTTTAAAACCTCAGTGTCGTAAGTTGATTATAAAAAAGGAGACTCCTAAATTTTTTTTGAAAGATGGCAGCAGGATTAAAATAAGTGCACACACCACCTGAAGGCAACGGCAATCACTACGTGCCTTTTCGGTGACGCACTATATGCCAGAGTGACTTGAAAACTACGAGCAGACCATTAGCACCGCCCCAGTGATAAATACTTCTGCTTCCTCCTCTCCAAACAGATTCGCCAGGTTCCTTTAGGAGACTAGATTCAGGGCATAGGGTGGGGGTATTCCTCCTGTGACATTCTCTTGTCACCAGGGGTGCTTGTCAGAGAGGTGGGTAATGCCACCCGACACCTGTATTATTCAAAGCTAGGGCTCAAGGTGTGGCCTGTGGTCTTTTAAGGCCAACAGCATCACTAAGTCCCCAGAGAAGAGCCAAGGAGAGGAAGATGGCAAGAGGTTGGCCTCATGGGGAAGGATTCCTCCTCTGCCTCATTCTTCACCTTTTGCTTCAAGGTAAGATGGGACAAAAGCAAGAGCAAAGCAGCCATGTAAATTTGGGCCAAGTTTTGTTATTCCTAGATAGCCAATGATTGGAAGTTTGTTTTGGTAAAAATGGAAGTTCCATGGTACCAACATCTTTGTACTTCTTCCCAGGAACCTAACAACTAGCCTGTTCTCTTGATCTACTTCTTCACTTCGCACGTATCTATCGGCCTCTCCTCCTTCCCCTCGTCTCTCTGTTTCTAAGCATATAGTCTAGCTCCATAGTTTCTGAGTATCAGCTGATGTTAAGAAGAAGAAAATAATTCTTTCTCGGCTCTCTTGAAGCCAAATGACATGACAGCAAAGATGCTAAGGAGAAGGAGGTGGATGAGAATATCTATAGTGAAAAAGGCAGAAACTTTTTCAGTATTGTTTTCCTAATCCACAGCATTTTTCTCGTATGTTATTGAAAATGAGCAATGAGGGATACAAGATCAGAATAGATAAAAATAAGACACTACCAGATGTTACCACCTAATTCTCTGTTTCTGCTCCAAAAAAGGGTGACTAGAAAGGGGTTGGGTAGATGTGTATCGAGGAACTCTTTAAAATAGTGCTGGGGTGATGCTACTGAGTTTTAGAAGAGCACAGTCGTAGCACATCGTAGAGACACAGTAAATATGTGTGAAGTAGCAAAACTGAACTTCTTCCTTAAGGTCTCACAAATCTCATAATACCTCCCTGATTACTTCCCGTCTCATGAATTTATGATCATCTATGACTTATTAATACATCAAGGAGAACTGCAGTTGCAAAATTTGTCAGTGACATCACCCAGATGGTTCAAGGACAGAGGTGAGCAATGGAAGGATATTGAGTGAAGGTGGAGAGGTTTGTGGTGAGCTTGTTAAAAACAAGCAGGAGAACGTAAAGTGGTGGTCAGGGCTGAGTTTGCATACACATTTGGACACATTCTGCATGGAGACAGAAACAATGGACTTGAGGACAGAGCCCTGACTCAGCTCACCTCATCAACTTCCGCCATTTGCCTACCAGACCAGTCCGTCCTCCCTGGGCCAGAAAGGAGGGGCTCAAATGCTTCTACCAGTGCCCCTGTCTTCTCTTTCTGCAGAAACATTCCCCAGGCTCCAGCCCAGCACCCTTCTCACACAGGAACACAGAGGTCAAGGTCCCATCTCGCAGGCTTTCTTCTCTCTACAGGCAGAGGGGACACTTTCACCATCAACTGCTCAGGGTTTGACCAGGATGGGGTGGACCCTGCTGCCTTCCAGGCAGCGTTTGATAGAAAGGCCTTCCATCCAGTCATCAACTACAGCATCCCCACTGAGGTCAACATCTCCTTCACCCTGTCTGCCATCCTAGAAGTGGTAAGTCCTGACCCAACATTGCAATGGTCTAGTGATGAGCAGTGGGTCACCTGAATGGATTTTGCAAAATTCGAGGTTCATTCTATGGAAAGGGAAGACATGAAGAGAATGCTGCAGTGACATTTCTACAGGTAAAATCTGTCCCTTTTTGGAATACTCCACAAGGAACCTATTCCCAGTGGACCCTCATACTGGTTTTTTCATTTACATTTTCCATGTACCCTGGATTGTTTTGACCTATATTTTCCAGTGGCTGATGATTGAAAATCATCATTGTCATATGGAATGGCTTTGGAAATGAGTAAGGGTGGAAGCACCAGATCTGACTTTATGGAGTTAATGATCTTGGGTGGAAATTGTTTTTCCAGGATGCACGACTTCAGCTGATGACATCATTCCTGTGGCTAAATGTGGTATGACAGACTCAGTTTCCCTTTCATTACAGTACCTTCCCTTTTCCACTCCTGGGTCTAATTTTGTAGATTACATTGGATAAAGCTGAGAATACCCACAAATTAAAGAAGTTCAAACAGAGTTGACCAACAATGAGAATACAACGGTTCCTGATTATGCTGCTAGCATAGAAGGGCAGAGATGGGATAGGGAGAAGGTGGATAAACCAAGGTCATGGAAGCCAATACTTAAGTGGCTCCTTCCCAGCGAATTCAAAGCCAAGCTCAAGGTCTCCCTTGAGAATACTGAGGAAGGAGTGGAGGCAGGCAAGATCTCGTTAGTGACATTGTGACAGCTTTCACTTCTCTAGTGGGAGAGTGAAGAACTGAGTGAAAAAAGGGGGAAAAATCAGGAAAGTACAGGAGACAGAGTAAGACTAAAACTAGTTCCTTCCATCCCTCTGCTTATTCCATGCCATGGTCTCCTCTAGATCTGGTACAATCCATTCATCAGGTGGAACCCAGAGGAATGTGGGGGCATCAGGAAGCTCAGCATGACAACCAAGAACCTATGGATTCCAGATATCTACATCGAAGAGTTGTGAGTATCAGGCTCAAAAAAACAAGAAAGAAACCCCATCAGGAAAGGGCATGATGTAACCAATAGAGGCCACACAAAAACTCAACTTAGAAAAGAGCAAGGTCTGACTTAACTAGCTTACAAAACTTCCAGAATATGGCAATAGGTGGATGGAGTAAATCAAGTAGGGCTGGAGCACAGGAGTGCAGTGACCTGAGAGAAAAGGAAGGCCAAGTCTGATGGGAAACCCACAGGACCCACCTCCCCCTCCTTCTCACATACAGCATGGATGTGGATCAGACACCTATGGGTCTTATGGCTTATGTCAACAGTGAAGGTCGCATCAGATATGATAAGCCAATGCGGGTGACCAGCATCTGTAACCTGGATATCTTCTATTTCCCCTTTGACCAACAGAACTGCACGCTTACCTTTGTTCTTTCATCTATACTGGTGAGTCTCACTACAGTTGCCTGTTGAGAGGCTGAGAAAGAGTTTTGAGTGAGAAGAGGACAGAAAATGGAAATAGTGAGGGAATCTCACTTAAGGGGTATAGAAGCTAAGTGGTGAGGAATCCAACAGTTGGGCAAAGGGGTTGGGAACATGGGAGAGGCTGAGTTATCTGGGTCTCCTTTGCAGTGGAGGACATGGTCCTGGGCATGGAGAAGGATGTGCAGGAGATTTCAAACACGTCACTGAACTGCATTCGGAGCAATGGGGAATGGGTACTTCTGAGTATTCACCAAAGAATGGAGAAGATGACTATGGGCACCAGACAGTATGACCAGATCATTTTTTATGTGAGCTCAGGGGCCCTGGTTGTGATCTTCCCCTCAGATTCATGGCTGTGACCTCCATTAGAATTTAAGCTCTCCCACTAGAAAGTAAGTTCCATGAGGGCAGAGATTTTAGTCACTTTTTTCCCCACTGATAATCTCCAGTACCTAGAATAATACCTGGCACGTTGTTTGCACCCACTAAGTTTTGTTGATTAAATCTTCCCTTGAGGAAGAAACAAAGATTCTATGCCAGTGATTCACAGCCAGGGTAAGCTTCCTATTCCCTAAGGGCTATCAGAACTTTTGGAGGACAAGAATTCTTATATTTAAAAAAAAAAAAAGTGGGTGGAAAAAGTTATGAAATGCTGCCTGAGGGGTATTATGATTCTAAACCCTACTGACCCCAAAATATACACCACAGTTTTGCCTTCCCTCCCTCTGGTCTTTGACATACACTAGCAAAGTCACTAAAGATCAGACCTTGATGAAGAAAGCAAGCTCTTGTCTGCAGAAATACAAAGATAGTATGCACATGATACCTGTAGTCCTATTAAGAGCACATTGGTAGGGATAAAAATTTAAATGGAGAAAGTTGACACCTTGAGCCAAGAAGGAATAAAATACATTTTCATGGTAAAGAGTATGGCAGAATCAAACCAGGAAAGGCAGACTGTGGTGGGTAAGATGCCTTTGGATGGACAGACAGGACAGGGAAAGGGACATGAGGTGGTATTTCCTTACCACACAATTTGGTCTGGAACAAATCCCAACTCTTGCTCTTAACTTGCTGGTCAGCCTCCCATCTATTCCTCACTTGTTGCTCTCTCCCCACACCAGGTGGCCATCAGGCGCATGCTCAGCCTTTACGTGATAAACCTTCTGCTGCCCAGCGGCTTTCTGGTTGCCATTGACACCCTCAGCTTCTACCTGCAGGCAGAAAGCGAGAATCGTGCCCCATTCAAGATGACACTTCTAGGCTACAACGTCTTCCTGCTCATGGTGAATGACTTACTCCCTGTCAATGGCACCCCCCTCATTAGTATGGCCCCTCCCTCCATCAGGAGAACAAAAGCAAGGTGGGAGGGTGGGGAGACGGACCAGTGGAACCAGGTCAGAGTGAGAAGGGATCCTGGAAAAGGGTCCTCAGAAAAGAAGGAACTAGAAGTTCTCAGAAGTCACTCTGGCCCTCAAATAGGCCTGCCTTCCCTCCAGGTGTCTACTTTGCACTGTGTCTGTCCCTGATGGTGGTCAGCCTACTGGAGACGGTCTTCATCACCTACCTGCTGCACCTGGCCGACACTGAGCCCCCACCCATGCCTCAGTGGCTCCACTCCCTTCTGCTGCACTACACCAGCCCCAAGAAGTGCTGCCCCACTGCACCCCAGAAGGAAAATAAGGGCTTGGGCCTCACCCCCACCCACCTGCCTGGTAAGGGAAGTCAGCACTGCCCACACTCCCTCTTCCAATACCTTCACTCCTCTGTTCCTGCCTCCTTCCCTGTCACCCTCCCTCCCCAGGTGAACTTCCCAGCCCATGGATGAGTTTCTGTCTTCTCCACAGGCCTGAAGGAGCCAGAGGTGTTGGCAGGAAAGATGCCCAACCCTGGAGAGGCAGAGTTAAATGGGCGCCCTGAATCAGCAAGGGCCCTGCAGGAACCCGAGGCCCAGAAGAAGCACCTGGTTGACCTGTGGGTGCAGTTCAGCCACATGATGGACACCCTGCTCTTCCGCATCTACCTGCTCTTCATGGCCTCCTCCATCATCACGGTCATCATCCTCTGGAACACCTAGGCTGATGCCCACCTGCAAACTCCACCTGGAGCTTCTCCTGACCTCCAGAGACCAGCCAGGTTCTCAGGCCTGTCCAGATCCCAGTTTCGTGGCCCTAGCAACAATCTACTTTTTAACCCAGTCCCTCTGTGCAGTTTCAGAGCAGACCTGGATATTTTCATAGGCCCTTCAAAGGTTAGGATCTTGCACCTGCACTCCATCAGCTCCCCTCAACCCTCCCACAAGTCCTCCTCCCTGACTCCTCAGGATTCAGCTTCCTGAAATACTTCCGGGATTGAATCATCTCCAATAAACCACTCTGCAGAAAGCATTGGCTCTTTCATGCATTATATTACAGAGTGAAAAATCTTGGGATTGAGAGTCTTATTGTAGAAACTTACCATTATCCAAAGTAAGAAGGATTGTCTTGGTTTTGTTTTGTTTAAGTCTATGAGACAATATATGAAAGTGGGGGGAGGAGAGAGAAGGGGCCAAAATCTATTATGAGGAAGGAATTATAAAATAGAGATTAATACACTTTTGTTACCAAATTTTTATTAAAAAAAAATTTTTTTTGATAGCATGTGTTTTCAGTATTGGAATGCATGCTTACTAATTGAGTGTGTTTAAATTTTTGTTGATAATATGGATTTTGAGAAATATTATCAGGCCATACAAGCCACCAATAAGGCGAGTGGTACTCTGGCACCACAGATCTGTGGTGTGACAATATACCAATGAGAACTAAACGGAGAATTTATTGCGGGCACCTTTCCATTAGGTTACATGGGGAACCTCTGGTTTTCCAAATATGACACAGAAAAAACAAAACAAACCCTTCAGGGCTCCCTAACTATCATTCAGGAAAGCCATATTTACGCTCGTCAGCCTTATCTCACAGAAATGAAGGGGAAAAAGGCAAAAGCTTCCAAAACTAACACATCTAGGAAGCATCACCTAATAGAACGCTCAACCTACAGAACAATAAGGCTCCAACTTTGCTCTGCTGAGATTCACGCATTTCAAAAGGGACCCACCTTGAGGCTAAACGCATTACAACTGGAATAACTACTAGCTAAGAGGTCCAGAGGCATAAAAAGTGGCTGATATACCCTTAAACCAATGGTAACTAAAGAGTTGACCTTGTAAATCTAACTACCCTAGATTTAAGCTTCAGAAATTAATAACATGCCAGAACTAGACCTCTCTTGCTGAAGAGTGAAGCCTCTTGTCACAGTGAAGCCTGACATATGACTCATTCATCATTAAACACTTAGAGTGTTAACCGTGTATTACCCTTAACAGTGTCTGTGTTGTCATTTGAGCTAATCTACCCTTACTCCTGCTAAGAAAAGAACATTAGGGAGGACGCTTGAAAATGGCATCAGCTTTACTTGGAAGAAACACAAATTCCCCCATATGAGCTGGAAAATTCCCCTTCCTAGCACTTGCCTTATTATTTTAAAAGTCTTTATCTATTGGCCCATTTCTTGAACTACCTGCCTGGGGGCAAATAGAGGCTCCACAGTATCTTTGTACATGGGAAATATGGCATGATTTGCAGGAGGCACCCGGATCAGAGAAGCACAGATTTGAGAACAACTTAATTACAACTCAAACATAATCTTTTACTTATAGCAACAATTTCTTTCCCTTTCTTTCATTTATTCTACTACTTTCTATCTGAATCCTACATCTCCCACATCATAACAGGTTAGGGATAAAGAGTCACAACTCTGGTTCCTCCTCCGCACTGCTCTTCCTCAAGCTCCTCTGTCCCCCTCCAGTCACTGTAGATGCCGAAAGAGTGGGATGGTTGCTGTGATGGTTAAGGTTGGGTATCAACTTGGCTGGGCCATGATTCTCAGTGGTCTGGCAGTTATGACATAGTTTGGCAGTTATGTAATGATGTAATCACCTCCATGATGAGATTTGATATAATGTAATCTCTTCCTGATGAGATCTGCTACAAGCAGCCAATCAGTTGAAAGGGAGTTTCCTTGGGGGTGTGGCCTGCATCCAATATAGTTGCCAATGTTCACAAGAGGAGCTGTTGCTGCTGCTGCTGCTGTTCCGTGCCGTCAAGTCGATTCCAACTCACAGCAAACCTATAGGACAGAGTAGAACTGTCCCACTGGGTTTCTAAGGCTGTGAGCTTTACAGGAGCAGATTGCCAGGTCTTTTCTCCCACGGAGCACTGACCTTTCAGTTAGCAGCCAAGTGCTTAACCTTTACGCCAGCAGGACTCCCTGTTAGTGCCTGCCAGAGGTCCTACCTACCACGTTCACTGCCACTGGAGGGCTGGACGCTTGGCGGAAGACGGTCCCAGCTAGATGCTGAGTCACCAGGATCGGCGGTTACTTGCTCTGGGACCAGGCCGGGTTCTACAGGAATCTGGGGCATAGAGGCCAGAAATACCCTGCTCTACTCTGAATCACTCCTTTCACTTAGGCCCATGCGTGGTCTTTGAATTAAACTTGTGTTCCTCCCCTGTCCTTTCAGAATGCATTTTTTTCTCAGGAAGGTCTTGGGCTCCTCGGCTTCCAGAACTCTGTCACTTCTCTGCCCATCAAAAGGCCTCCGGGCATGTCCACAACCTTTTGCTTAGCAGCTGACCTCTTAACCACTCTGCCACCTGGGCTCCAAGTAATAATAATAACCAACTTTTATTAAGTTATTACTGTGTGGCAGGCACTCTTGCAGGTACTTTGTATGAATTAACACAGTTCATCCTTACAGCTAGCCTATGAAGTAGGAACTGTAGATCCACAAACTCCTAGAGCAAAATGTGTTTTAGAATTTAGAATTTTTTAGATTTTAGAAAGGATATAATTGTGTATTACAGTATGTTACTAACACCCCAACTGGAGTATGGGGCGGCCCCCCATAATCAAATGTTACTATTTCTGCAGTGAAATCGGGGAATATTCACACTGTTGTTGTTGGCTTCTGCTGTCAAGTCGGCCCCGACTCACAGCGACCCCATGCGTTACAGAGTAGAACTGCTTCATAGGGTTTTCTGAGTTGTTATCTTTACGGAAGCAGTTCACCGGGCCTTTCTTCCTTGCAGCTGCTGGGTGGGTTTGAACCGCCAACCTTTAGGTTAGCAGCCAATCACAAACAACTTGCACCACCCAGACTCCTATAGTCATACTAAACCAAACCACCAAACCCACTGCCATCGAGTCAATTCTGACTCATAGCAACCCTATAGGACAGAGTAGAACTGCACCATAGGGTTTCCAAGGAGTAGCTGGTGGATTCCAACTGCCAACCTTTTGGTTAGCAGCCGAGCTTTAAACCACTGCGCCACCAGGGCTCCGTAGTCATACTAGGTAGCAAAAATAAGACCGGAAATAGGCTCGCATCAGTTCAGGTCAAGTTTTGCCACCAAATAATTTAGACTTTGTAACTGTGGTTTTGAATTACTATTCCGATTTCACACATGGAGAAAATGAAGCACAGAGAGGCTAAGGGACAGCTACCTCGGGGTCCCGACGCCGCACAGCTCGTTCAGGGATGGAGTTGTAGATTGAGCCTGGGCGAGCTGACTCTAGGGACTGGAGGCCACCTCTCTGCTCCACCACCTTCTAAACTGAGGACAAGACCACACAGGCCCTCTCAGAGTCCCATACTGAGACATCAATACCATTTCAAGTCTTCATCACTAACACTTTAGGAGAATTAAAACAGAAAGAGTGTTCATGTTAAGGAGGAAGAGCAATTCCGAAAAGGAGGGTGAGAATGGTTGCACAACTTCAAGAATGTAATCAATGTCACTGAATTGTACGTGGAGAAATTGTAGAATTGGTGCATGTTTGGCTGTATATACAACAATTAAAAAAAAAACACAAACAGCAAGGTCCCAATCAGGGTCCCAAAACAATTGTAAATTTCCTTTTCCTACCTCCCCAACTCCAATCACAGCCTCTCAATTCACTAGTTGTAGTTTCTCCATTCCCTTCTGGAGTGTGTTATTTCCCCAAATCTAACGCCATCCCAGGGCTGCCCCTCATCTGAAGACCCCAAAATAATCTAAACAGAAAAGAGAGGAGTGGTAGCAGACAGCAGCGCCCAGGGTCCAGCTAAGATGTTGCAGCCCAGAAAGCTGTGTTTGTGATGATGTAGGCTGCTATGATGCTGAACAGGTTTCAGTAGAGCTTCCAGATTAAGATGGACTAGGAAGAAAGGCCTGGCAATCTACTTCCGAAAATCAGCCAATGAAACCCCAGTGGATCACAATGGTGTGATCCTCAAATGATCATGGGGATGGCACAGGACCAGGTAGCATTTCATTCCACTGTGTATGGGGTCGCCACGAGTCAGGGGCTGACCCCATGGCAGCTAACAACAACCACAGTCTGGACAATCCATCTTTCCTGTGTTCCCTAAGAATTTAGTTTTTGCTGCTGATATATATTCTACTGTCAGATGCTTTTGGATTTTCCCGTCCTATACCCTATCCTGAGACAGTCTTCTCATCTGGAAACACCCTTGGTTTTTGCTGAGTAGCTCGCTCACCTAGCTTTCAAGGGGTTCTGAAATTATTTAAGATCAATTTGCATAACTTTGTTTTCTCCACCCATCTTCATGTACCTACTTCTCTACCTATTTTCTTCACATTTTTTTCCCTATATGTAGCCTTTAGTCTTATTTGAATAGAAGATCTGCAATTTATCTTTTTTGGCCCAGGGAATAAGATTCTATATCTCCTTTCAGTAAGAAAAGATTTGATCTAATTATAGTAATTTTATTTCTTCCATCAGCAAAATCTGAGCATGAGATCTTAACACTTAATTGACAATCATACAGAACTTTTGAAACTGGAGCTCACCCAGATAATTAACCACACCTATTAACAGTTGTTGATTTTTGTTCCATCTGCAAGAAAATCACTTTGTGCTAATGACTTTCCTCTTGTTATGTGGCAAACTTCTGCGAGGTTTTGCAAGTAATTTATGACCTTTTTAGGGAAATCTGCTGACAGACAATTGGTCCTGCCTGTGCCATCCTGCATTCGATGGCCTGTTTCCACCTGACAGCTCCTCACCTGCGCTCACCTGGAGTGCTATCCTGCAGTTCCCACACATATTTTTGTTCACTTTCTTGTTCTCTAAACCGTCATAAAAAGTATTTCTGCATGTTTTCTACATTTTCTCTGGGCTCCATATTAAACCAAACCAGTTGCCATTGAGTCGATTCTGACTCATGGCAACCCCACGTGTTTCAGAGCAGAACTGCGCTCCATAGGGTTTTCAATGACTGTGATCTTGCAGAAGCAGATTGCCAGACCATTCTTCAGAGGCACCTCTCGGTGGGTTTGAACAGCCAATCTTTTGGTTAGTAGCCAAGCGCTTAACTGTGTGCGCCACCCAGAGACTTCTATTGACCTGACATTAATATATTTTTATCTCATTACCATCTTTGCACCCCGCTTCTCTTCCCTGGGATCCATTTTAGGATGTTACCCTGCAGGCTTCCTTTCAAGCCTGTCTTTTTTCTCCTCTCCAACTTCTGATTCTCCCTTCGATAACCTCTTATTTGATCATTCATTGCCACTGGTTCTTCTATGCAGCAGGAGAAAAATAGGACAGTGTAGAGACTTTGGAACCCTAAAGCCCTGGATTCTAATCTGACACCATGACTGGGTAGTGGGGTGATCTTCAACAAGTGGTTTAGCCTCGCGGGTTTAAATTACGCTTGCGAAGTGGAGCTCATAACACGTACTGAATTATTTTAAGAATATTTTCTCTTACCTGACTTAATGGTCTGACTGAGAGTGGAGGAACCCCAGAAAGCATGGCCCCCGGACTCTGTCAGCCCAGAACTAAAACAATTTCCGAGGCCAACTTTTCAGACAAAGATTGGACTGGACTGGGATATAAAATGTTACTGGTGAAGAGTGTGCTTCTTAGCTCAAGTAGATACATGAGACTAAATAGGCAGCTCCTGTCCGGAGGTGAGATGGGAAGGCAGAGCGGTTAAGAGCTGGTTGAATGGACATGGGAAATCAGGGGTAGAGAGGAGGGGTATGCTGTCACAGTATAGGGAGAGCAACTAGGGTCACATAACAATGTGTGTATAAATTTTTGTATGAGAGACTAACTTGAAATGTAAACTTTCACTTAAACTACAATAATAAACAAACCAAAAAAAGAATACTTTCTTTTAAAAATCACTTATAAGCTTACAGAAACTAAAAGGCAAAATGGGAAACCCTAGAGAGTATCTATTTACCACGCAAGCTGAGACCTAGCGTGCGAAATAGGCTTGCCTCCTAGGCGGGAGGCAAGAGACTTCAAGAATTATAGACTTTCTAGTTCAACCCCTTTATTTTTTAAATGAGGAATGTGAAGTGGAGAAAAGTGAAGTGACAAGTATGGAGTTGTCATACTTCAACAAATCCTGGGCTCAGAGCCTGGGCCAGTGAAAGTGGCAGCTGCAGGGAAAACCTCGTCCATGGAATTCTTTTCCCAGGGGCCTCTCAGGAATCCCAGGACCCTCCATCTCTCCTGCTCCCAGGCACCACAGCCAGCCTGACCTCGGCTAGTGACCCACCCTGCAGTTTGGGTGTTCTGACTACCGGCTGCCTCCTGCACTCCTGGCTCCTTAGCCCTGGCCAATGGCCTCTGTAGTGATTGCTATCCATCTGGGCTGCAAAACCGTGGCCCTTACATCCCCTGTCTTAGTTATCTATCTAGTGCTGCTATGACAGAAATACCTCAAGAGGACGGCTTCAACAAACAGAAATTTATTCTCTTACTGTTTAGGAGGTGAGAAGTCCAAATTCAGGGCATCAGCTGCAGGGGAAGCCTTTCTCTCTCTGTTGGCTCTGGAGGAAGGTCCTTGTCATCAGCCTTCCCCTGGACTAGGAGTATCTCCGCGCAGGATCCCCGGGTCCAAAGGACGCGCTCTGCTCCTGGCGCTGGGCTGCTTTTTTTGGTGGTATGAGGTTCCCAACTCTCTGCTTGCTTCCCTTTCCTTTTACCTCTTGTAAGATAAATGATGGGCCACATCCCAGGGAAACTCCCTTTACATTGGATCAGGGATGTGACCTGAGCAAGGGTGTTACATCCCACCCTAATCCTCTTTAACCACAGGCAGAGATTATGATTTATAACACATAGGAAAATCACAAAATGGAGGACAACCGCACAATACTGGGAATCATGGCCTAACCAAGTGGACACACATTTCTGGGAGACACAATTCAATCCATGATACTTTCCTAGGTCTAAGATCTGATAGCCCAGCCTATATGCAGACCTTGTGTTACTCCGTTGAAAGTCCTTCACTGTTAACCAAGAGTTCAGTGTCCTAAGAGTATGTTCAAGTGGCTAAAGACACAGTAGTTTGGTTCAACATGCCATGATGGGTACAATCAAAAGGTTAGGCTTCCTGCTCAAGTTTTGCCTAATTGTTCAGTTATACTCAGTCATTTCTTCCTTTGAAGCAGAGAGCCACCTTGAATGATAGCCCATTTTCCTAGAAGTCCTGTCTCCTAAATCATTGACTTGTATTCCAGTCCAAAAGTGGAGTTCCTAGGATCTCATTTGCTGTTGGCTCAACTTCCAAACGTATATCCACTTTCTGGGTGGGCCATGGCCATGCCTGGCTTTCCAGATCTGTCCTGGATCACACCTGTGTTTGCTCTGCTTTAGGGTATATTATGTGTAGGACAACCTGGCCACCTGGCCTCCAAGCTTAGGACAGCATCTGTAGTCTGGTCAGTCACCCCAGCCCTCATGCCAACAGCTTCCTCCTTGTGCTACCCAGTACCTTATGTTGCTAGAGACTAACTTGCCTCCCAACTGAACCCTTTCAAGTCACAATACAAAAAAAAAAAACTTGTTGCCATCAAGTCAACTCAGACTCATAGTGACCCTATAGGACAGAGTAGAACTGCCCCACAGGGTTTCCAAGGAATGGCTGGTGAATTTGAACTGCCGACCTTTTGGTTAGCAGCCTGAGCTCTTAATCACTGTGCCACTAGGGCTCCTCAAGTTACAATAGAGACCCCTAAACCTTAAACAGATTTTCTAACAACCCCCCTTTGCCTTGCTCCTTCTCCTTTTCTTGCTCCTTCTACCCCAGTGCTTCTAGCTCCCTTCTTTCTCCGTGTCTTCTTCCTTTCACTCCCTTCAACCTCTGCCTCAGACAGGCCAAGTTTACAAAGAAATTACAGAGCTGGTAGGGCTGAAGGACTACAGCTATAGCAAACCACAGATGAAATGCAATGCAATCCTCTCTCCTGTACTTCCCTACTTTGGGTCCCTAAGTCAGCCCTGCCTTTCTCAGCACTTTCTATTTAGGCCTGCCAGGACTTTCTATTCTGAACAAAGTTTCTTTTGTATTCTCGGCCTGACCCTTCATTTGTTCTACAAGAAAAAAATTTCCAAGTCTTTCTGGAAATGTAAGATACTTAATATAACAATGCTCCAATTCACTCATTTGGTTCGATTGTGTTTTTTCATAGAGATGTGACATAAGATGTAGTATCAACACGTGTCAATAATATTGATGTTAGCTGAGATTACTAGTTTGTGACAATTTATAATGCTACGGACAACACAAAGATCTTAAAAACAGTTCTGCTACTCTAATCTTACGCTTTCTATTAGCATAGAGTAAAAGACGTGCAGAGAACATTGGTTTGGGGAGAAAGAATTAAAACAGAAGAGACACTGGAAAGAGGAAATCTAGTTAGAGGCTGTTGGAAAAAAATAGGTAATAGATGATGAAGGTATGAACTAAGTTTAATAATTTGGTATTTTCAATAATCCTCAGTGTCAACAAAAGCTATAAGATACTTCAGTGTTTATAACCAAATAAGCAAATATTGTCACCTTTCCAAATCTGCAGATTCCCTGGCCTTAGAAGAGCATAACCCTATTTCCCCAGTCCATACACTGTCATTAAGGGGAGTTACTTTGTTATTGATCTTGGCCCCAAGCTGCCAAACAGGATGTTTCTCCCTTAGTCTTGGCCCATCTTCCACCCTGCCTGGAGCCCAGAAGGCATACCTGGGCAGGGGCAAAGCAGGACACTCTCCCGTGATCTCTCAGGCCACAGCCTCTCACTCAGGAGTGGTCACCTGACAGGAGCAATATTCAAAACCAGGAACTAAGGTGTGGTCCAATCTCCTTTAAGCTCAAGAGTTTGGGGGCTCCTGGTGAGTCCCCAGAGAAGAGGCCAGAAGAGGGAGATGGAAGGGGGATGGCCTCTTATGAGGGGCTTTCTCCTCTGCCTCACTGTCAGCCTTCTGCTTCAAGGTAAGATGGGGCAAGAACAAGGGAAGATGAGAGTGTGATTCTGAAGGACATCCAGGAACTTCCCTCTAGCACTTGAAGGGCATTCAGAATTATCATGGTAAATATTGCTTCCATAATGTCTGTGCCTTGACTTCCTTTTGGTGACAGAAAGATATTTTACTGATCAGTACACACAGCCCTTCTCTATTCCTGCCTGCATACGATTTTACCAAATTGTCTTTCTATTTCATCACCTCTCCAATTCCATCTTGTCATTGACTTCCTGTGTCACTTCAACCACACCCCTTATCCAACCCTTTCTATCTCTTTTCCATCACATGGTATCTGTAAGACGAGTAGTCATTAATTTTAAACATACTCTGGAGGATTAAGTAAAATACCAAGAAAGTTTGGGGATCAATCTGAGATAGAAAGGAGTGGGTGCTTAACTTCTATGAGGAAATATCTGTTCCTAATCTGGGTGTGTACCCTAAAAATTATGGAAAGAGATGGGGAGGTACAGGAGGAAGCAAAGGAAAAAAACAGACAAAGATGGTAATGGGGCAAAGAATCTGCTTAGGTACCCCTCAGGTCCTTCCCTTTCTGGAATATTCCAGAGAAAAGAATATTCCAACACCTGTTTAGGCCTTGGTATGTGATTGGCATATGGTATACGCTCAGTGATATTGCTGCTTGATGTTGATGCTGAAAGTAATCCTCAACATATCTGAGGTCACTACATCTGAGAAGAGCAAACAAATGCATAGCACCAAGGTAAGCACCCATTCAGAATGCCTACTACATGCTTCCCATATCTATCCAGCAAGTATAGTTGTTCTCCTCCCCTACCCTCTTGATAAACCAGTTCTTGCTTTCAAAAGATGGAAGTCCCTGAGAATGAGAAAAGAAATACATTAGAGCAGATTTCCCAGTCACCTGGACTACAAGTTTAGGGCAGTGCTAAGTGGTGCTAGTGCTGGGCGGGCCCAAGAGGTCTGCGAAAGGCACATTAAAGGGCCCCTTGAAGTGGATGCCATTGCACCCAAAAAAAAAAAGCCAAGTCTGCATACAGATTTGGGCAGATTTTGCATGAGGATGAAACCATGGAAGTGAATACAGCCCTGACTCAGCTCACCACATCAACTCCCACCATTTGCCTACTAGCCCAGTCCATCCTCCCTGGCCCTGGCAGGAAGGATGCTGGCCTCGGAGAGTCTTGGCCCAGGAAGAAGGGACTTACCTGCTTCTGCCAGTGCCTCCTGTTTTCTCTCTCTGCAGAAATGTTCCCCAGGCTACAGCCCAGCACCCCTCTCACACAGGAACACAGAGGTCAAGGTCCCATTTCACAGGCTTTCTGCTTTCTACAGGAGGAGGGGACACTTTCACCATCAACCGCTCAGGGTTTGACCAGGATGGGGTGGACCCTGCTGCCTTCCAGGCAGTGTTTGACAGAAAGGCCTTCCGTCCAGTCATCAACTACAGTATCCCCACTGAGGTCAACATCTCCTTCACCCTGTCTGCCATCCTAGAAGTGGTGAGATCTGGCCCCCATCCTTTCCATAGGCTTCCAATAGGGAACAAGGACCCTCTGCCCTGTTAACCCAACATGACACTGGTTCACTGGTGAGCAATGGGTCCCCTGAATGGCTCTTGTAGAAGTTAGAGATTCATCCTATGGGGTGGGGAGACACAAGAGGAACACTGCAGGAATATTTTTACAGAAACTTTTGTCCTTGAGTCTTTCCCTTTCTGGAATATTCCAGAAAAAACTAATATTCAAAAAAAATTTTTAGTTATGTTAATTAAAACCTGAATTGTCCTTTAACTCAAGGGGAAACAAGTAAGCAAAAGGAAGTCCAGCTTCTAGACTTCCGTCTGGCACGATAAATTAGTATTTGTGAGAATGTGAGCCGGGCTTGGACTAAATCTTTCCGCACTGATAATCCTGGATGGGAATTTCTTTATTAGGATGCACAGCTCCAGCTGCTGACATCATTCCTGTGGATAGATATGGTAAGGCAGACTCAGATACCCCATTCCCACTTTCAATGATAATTTTAAATTGGAGGAGTTAGAAGTGACTCAAAGTTTTTCTAGTTCAAACCATTACTAAATGTATAAATCTCCTTTTCTGGGGCAAAATAACTACATCTAGAACTGGACTGGTCCTGGGGACACAAATATCTCTGGGCAGCTAAGGAAGAAGTGTGATCCACGAACATAGCCCAGGCCAATATATTGGGTGTGCCTGGTTCCAAGTGGTTTTAGGCCATATTTAAGATCTGATTTGAAAAAAGCCCATGAAGAGGGAATTACCTGATGACACCTTGTTAGATAAAGTGGGGGAGATAGCTGTGGTTATTAAAGACACAAGGTGGAGTGGGGGTCTCAAGGTAAAGAAGAATGGAAAGGGCAGGAGAGGCTGATCAGACAAGCTCCCCCATCACTCACCTTCCTTTCTCACTGCCCTGGCTGCAGATGTGGGACAATCCATTCATCAACTGGAAACCAGAAGAGTGTGTCGGCATCAGTAAACTCACCTTATCAGCTGAAAACCTGTGGCTCCCAGACATCTTCATCGTGGAATCGTGCGTATCTGGGCTGGGGAAAGCCAGCATGAAGCCCCATCTGCAAAGGACAGCCCAGTCTGTCAGTGCAGGGCACAGGGCACCATAAGATTCAGACAGGGACATGGTCTCAATTAATTGACTTCCACAAAACATGGCCAGGAGTAGTACAGACAAGACAGTGACATTCGAATAAGAGCTGAAAAGGAGAGCACAGTCAGACAAAAGCTGACTGAGGCACCCTCAGCACCCTTCTCTCCCTTCTTTTCACAAGCAGCATGGATGTGGATCAGACGTCTCCAGGTCTCACTGCTTACGTCAGCAGTGGAGGTCGAATATACTACAGCAAGCCAATGCGGGTGACCAGCATCTGCAACCTGGACATCTTCTACTTCCCTTTTGACCAACAGAACTGTACCTTCACCTTCAGTTCTTTCCTCTGCACCGGTGAGTGTGATGTGTTTTGGTAGCGATGTAAGATTCAGGGGAAGATATTTAAGTGGTGCAAGTATTGTTCGGGAAGGCGCTAGGTCACTGTTTCTCAATCCGGCTGCCCACAAAAGCTTTTAAAAACATCCATAACTGCACATCATCTTCAGATACGCCAATTTACTTGCTCCAGGGTGGGACCCGGGCATTGCTAGTTTCTACAACTCCCCAGTTGACATTAATGTGCAACCAGGGTTGAGAACTACTGCTTTAGAGCTCGGGTGTCCCTCGCACAAAATGAGGTCCACCTGACCCTGATCTGACGCACACCTATACTTATTAGCTCAAACTTTTTAACTTTAGTAGCTAACAAGCTTAAACCAGTAAGTTACTGGAACTGAATGCCACCAGGTGTCCTGTGGCAGGTTTGGATAAATTAGTCATTACAGCGGACATGTATGTATTAACAAAAGCGTTGAGCTGCTCAGGTTTGATTCCTCTGAAACAACTTTATACACCTGGGGAATTAAGAAGGCCAATAGGGACGACTCCAAATGTTTTTGACTCTCTTAGAGTCATATCCCGCATTCCCAGAACAACTTTGACTCACTCTTGTTTTCAACAACAACAACAATCAATGCTGTAGCCCAAGCGCACGTGAAGTGCTAGTCCTCTAACCCACTTCTGAAAACACCTGGATGCTCTGCTTTCAAAGGAGAGAGGGGGAGATTTGTTGAAGAAGCTCAGCGGCAGAGGAATCAGATTTTATTGGCGGGAGGCATGGGAGCACGTCTGGCCTACGCTGACTGGGTCTCCCTTGCAGAGGACAGCATGCTACTGGGCATGGAGAAGGAAGTGTGGGAGATAACAGACATGTCTCGCAACGTCATTCAGACCCAGGGAGAGTGGGAGCTCCTGGGCATCAACAAAGTCACCCCAAAGATGTCAGTGGGCAGCAAAGTATATGATCAGATCATGTTCTATGTGAGTCCATTGACCTCTGGTCCCAGTTGCTCTGTGATTTTCCTCTATCTAAGGCTCTTTGGGCAGTAAAAAGAAGCTTCAGGAGGTTAAGCACCTGCTTCCCACTCTACACTCTACCCAAGCCCAAAACCAAACCCATTGCTGTCAAGCCAGTTTGACTCATGGCAATCCCAAGCATTACACAGTAGAATTGCTCCATAGGGTTTTCTAGGTTGTACTCTTTAAGGATGCAGATCACCAGGTCTTTCTTTCACGGCACTGCTAGGTAGGATCAAACCACCAACCTATATGTTAGTAAACCCCTTGCCGTCCAGTCGGTTCTGGCTCAAAGTGATCCCATAGGACAGAGTAGAAATGCCCCATAGGGTTTCCGAGGAGTGGCTGGTAGATTTGAACTGCTGACCTTTTGGTTAGCAGCCGTAGCTCTTAACCAGTACACTACCAGCGGTCTATAGGTTAGTAGTAGAACGTAAACCTTTTGCCCCACCTAGGAAGCTTACCCTGTACGCAAGCTTCTTTGGAGTCGGATCCCCAGGGTCTCTCTCTACACCAAAGAGAGGGAGGGGCTGGGCTGTTACAAACACTACTGCTTAGAATGCAGCATCACCTATGTGATGGTTCAAAAACTCTACTTACCCCTAAAAGTCTACAATCGCATTGTGTTCCCAGCAGATTGTAAGTGAAAACTAGACAATGAATTGGGGCATTTCTGTAGAAGGTCACAATTAAATGCATGTGTTACCTAAAGAGACTGTCCCATCACCAGCCTAACAGCACATTACAACAATGAGATAGTCTAATACAGAAGTTGAGCACTTCGGTATCAGTTCATTTGTGATATTCTCCACTCTCTCTCCCCCAATCAGGTGGCCATCAGGCGCAGGCCTACCCTCTATGTCATAAACCTTTTGGTGCCCAGTGGCTTTCTGGTTGTCATCGACGCCCTCAGCTTCTACCTGCCGGCAGAGAGCGAGAATCGTGCCCCATTCAAGATGACTCTTCTGCTGGGCTACGACGTCTTCCTGCTCATGATGAGTGACTTACTCCCCAGCAGTGGCACCCCCCTCATCAGTGTGGCCTTTCCCACTTTCTAGAGAAGCTAAGGACAGGGAGGCGGACCAGGAGACCTGGCCGCTACTCCACTTGAGGAGGGAAAGGATTCTTAGGAAAGGTAGGATTTGGGGAAAGAAGCTCAAGAAAAGTTCAGACTTGAATCTGCCCTGGTTGGCTTACAATTTGTTTTGCCCTCAGGTGTCTATTTTGCCCTGTGTCTGTCCCTGATGGTGGTCAGCCTGCTGGAGACCGTCTTCATCACCTACCTGCTGCACCTGGCCACCACCGAGCCCCCACCCATGCCTCAGTGGCTCCACTCCCTTCTGCTGCACTACACCAGCCCCAGGAAGTGCTGCCCCACTGCACCCCAGAAGGAAAATAAGGGCTTGGGTCTCACCCCCACCCACCTGCCTGGTAAGGGAAGTCAGCACTGCCCACACTCCCTCTTCCAATACCTTCACTCCTCTGCTCCTGCCTCCTTCCCTGTCACCCTCCCTCCCCAGGTGACCTTCCCAGCCCATGGATGAGTCTCTGTCCTTTCC